GTTTTAAAATTTCTTCTTGATATCCTTATTGATTGAGTGTCTTCCAGGAGTGTTTCAATCTTCCTACCATGAACGAGGAATGTTCCTTGTTTTCTTTTCATGGTTTATTTCTAGTTTGTTACCTTTATGTCAGAGAAGATAGTGGGTATGATTTTGATTTTATATGTATCTGTTGAAGTTTGTCTTGTGTCCCAGTATGTGATAACTCCTGGAAACAAGACATGTGCACTTGAGAAAAATGTGTACTCAGATATTTTTGGGTGCAGTGCCTATACATGTCTGTTAAGCACATTACAGGTCCTTATTTAGAGCTGTAGTGTCACTACCTGGACACCTCATTGCCGCTGGAGACAGGAGACATCTGGGAGGGGAGGGAAGAACAACAAAGGCAAAGCCAGCACAGCGCAAGGCAAAAGTCAAGTGGCAAGTTGCTTGTTAATTCATCTGAGCACAATGTGCCTTTGATTTTTCAGATCAGTCCATTGACATTTAGGGTGATTAGTGATATGAAGGGTTTGCTACTTCCATTCATCCTTTGTTTACCAATTGTTATGTATATTCATTGCTTCTATATTCATATTCTATCTGCCACTTTTGTTACATTTCTTATTGTCCCCTTTATGTGTTGTGTCTCTATTCCAGTTTTTTGCTAACCATGGGATTTGTATAGAATATCTCTTTTCTCAATAGCCCTTTTTCTGCTAATCTCATCTCATCTTCATTTGAATATACTGGTTCTGACTTCCACATTAATGTTGTTATTGTCAAAATTATCTCTTTTTATACTGTGAGATTTTTACCAAATTAAGGCATCTATATTTTATTGTTTATTTAATGTGTATCTTTTTTATATTTTTGTTTTATAATTCTTACATCATTTTTCATTTTTGCACAATGTGTGCATTTTCATTTTGGTTATATTCCCCATACAATTGCACCCCCCCCACCCCCCCCTTATTTTGACCCTAATCCTTCCTCTCCCCTCCCTCCTCCTCCCATAGTGTGTCTCTGGTTTATAGTTGCTTGTTGATTTTGATTTTTACTTCATATTAATTAGTCTTTTTCCTGGTTCCTTATTTAGGTTTTCTAAATTCCTGCTATGAGTGAGGCCATCTGGTATTTTTCTTTTTCTTTCTGACTTATTTTGCTGAGCCTGATCCCTTCTAGCTCCATCCATGTTGCTGCAAACTGCATGTGTTTATCTTTTTTGATTGCTGAGTAATATTGCATTGTGTGTATGTACCACATCTTCTTGACCCAGTCATCTATTTTGGGGCATTTGGGTTGTTTCCATAGCTTAGCTATTGTAAATAGTGCTGCTATAAACATAGGGGTGTAGGTGCCCTTTTGAATTTATGTTTCTGTGTCCTTTGGGTAAATATCTAGGAGTGGAATTGCTGGATCATATGGAAGCTCTATCTTTAGTAGGTTGAGGAATATCCACACAGCTCTCCTTAGTGGCAGGACCAGTTTGCATTCCCACCAGCAGTGCAAGAGAGTTCCTTTTTCTCCACATCCTCACCAACATTTGTTGTTGCTAGTTTTTTTAATGAGATACCATCTTACACCAGTAAGAATGGCACATATTAATTTGTATCTTCGTACACAGTTGTTCGTGTTTTGTACATATTTGATTTCTCCCCTCAGGTGCAGTCCAGTACTTCTCCCACACCATATCACTTAGAACCATCACCATACTCCCTTGTGCTATTCCCTTCCCCTATCTTGACTCCTCCTCTTCTCCTTCCCCTGCTGTATGCTAATTTTGACTTCTTCCTAACCCTTTTTTCAGCTTTCCTATAGTCCACCTATAAGTCTAGACACCTGAAATTTTTCTTTTTCCTTCTGACTCATTTCACCGACCATCATCCCTTCCAGATCCATCCATGTTGGGACCCGTTTTAGAACCCTAAAAAGCCACAGAAAAACAATTCAAAATAACCAACCAGTTTAGTAAAGTAGCAGGATACAAAATTAGCACGGAAAAATCAGTAGCCTTCCTATACACAATCAATCTGAAGAAGAAAAAAAATCAAGAAAACCATCCCTTTTATAATTGAAACAAAAAAATCAAATACTTGGAAATAAACCTAACAAAAGAGGTGAAGGAACTATACAAAGAAAATTATAAAACACTGTTAAGAGAAATAGAAGACACAAAGAAATGGAGAGTTATCCCCTGCTCATGGACTGGAACAATTAACATTATTAAAATGGCCATCCTATCAAAAGCAATTTACAGATTCAACGCTATGCCAATAAAAATCTCAATGACATTCTTCAAAGAAATAAAACAAATACTGATGAAATTTATGTGGAACCACACATGCACACACACACAAAAAAAATCTGAATAGCTAAAGCCCTACTGACGAAAACAAAGGAGAATGGAGGTATCACACTTCTAAACTTCAAGCTATACTACAAAGCCATAATAATTAAAACAGTTTGGTATTGGAACAAACACAGATACACAGAACAATGGAACAAAATAAAGAGCCCAGAAATAAAGCCACACTTACATGGACAAATAATCTTTGGCAAAGGAGCAACGAACATCCAATGGAACATGGACAATTTGTTCAAAAAACGGTGCTGGGAAAACTGGACCACCACATGCAAAAAAATGAAACTAGACCACTACCTTTCACAATGCATAAAAATCAACTCAAAATGGATAAAAGAACTGGACATAAGATCTGAAACCATAAAATAGATATAAGAAAATATAAGTAAAACACTATAAGACATAGATTTCAGTAACTCTTTATAAAGACTTGCCACCCAAAGCAGTGATAGTGAAGGCAAAGATAAACCCCTGGGATTACATCAAACTGAAAAGCTTCTGTACAGCAAAAGAGACATTAACCAAAACAAAAAGGCACCACACTGACTGGAAAAAAATTTTTGCGCTCCAGTCAACTGATAAGGGACTGATCATAAAAATATACAAAGAACTCACAAGACTCAATAAAAACAAAATAAACAATCCAGTCAAGAAATGGGCAGAAGAACTTAAAAGACATTTCTCGAAAGAGGAAATGCAAATGGCCAACAGGCATATGAAAAAATGTTCAACATCCCTTATAATCGGGGAAATGCAAATCAAAACCACATTGGATACCACCTGACACCAGTAAGAATGGCACATATCAAAAAAAACAAGCACAACAAATGTTGGCGAGGCTGTGGTGAAAAAGGAACTCTCTTACATTGCTGGTGGGAGTGCAAACTGGTCCAACCACAATGGAAAACTGTCTGGAGGGTCCTCAGTCTACTAAAAATGAAGCTACCATATGGCCCAGAAATTCCACTCTTAGGGATCTACCCAAAGGACACAAAAACATTGATTCAAAAGAACAACTGCACCCCTATGTTTACTGCAGCACTATTTACAATAGGCAGGACTTGGAAATAACCCAAATGCCCAAAAATAGATGACTGGATCAAGATGATGTGGTGTATATACTCAGCAACATGGATAGATCTAGAAGGAATTATGCTCAGTGAAATAAGTCAGAAGGAAAAAGAAAAATATTGGATGGTTTCACTGCTAGCAGGAATACAGGGGAACCAAATGAGACATCAGTGTAAAAAATAATAATATAAAAAACAAAAAAACAAGAATAGACAATTATAAGTCAGAGACATCCTGCAGGGGAGGAGGAGGGAGAGCTATCTGAGGTAGAGGGATGGAGGAGCACAGGGGACTGTGGTGATGGTGTACGGGTGCATTGGTGAAGGAAATTCTATGGTGACTACACCTGGGGAGGAGGAAGCAAATATTGTTTAAAAATGAATTGGTGGGAGTGCAAACTGGTCCAACCACTATGGAAAGCTGTGTGGAGATTTCTTGACCTACTAAACATAGAGCTTCCATATGATCCAGCAATTCCACTCCTAGGTATTTACCCAAAGGACACAGAAACATCAATTCCAAAGAGCACCTGCACACCTATGTTTATAGCAGCACTGTTTACAATAGCTAAGCTTTGGAAACAGCCCAAATGCCCAAAAGTAGATGACTGGATCAAGAAGATGTGGTACATATATACCATGGAATATTACTCGGCATTCAAAAAAGATAAACACATGCAATTTGCAGCAACATGGATGGCACTGGAAGGGATCATGCTCAGTGAAATAAGCCAAAAAGAAAAAGAAAAATACTAGATGGTCTCACTCATAGCAGGAATCTAGAAAACTTAAATAAGGGACCAGGAAAATGAATAACTATAAGAAAGTGAAAAATAAAAACCAACAAAAAACTATGAACCAGAGACACTTTTTGGGGGGTGGGGGGCGGGAGGGGAGGGATTGCGGTCAGAATGAGGGGGTTGCAATTGTATGGTGAATATAAAAATAAAATTTATTATAAAAAAATAAATAAAAATAAAATGTCAAAAAAATAAAAAATAAAAATGAATGTTATAAAAAAAATAAAAAGAAAAAAATGTTGCTGCAAATGGCATGAGTGTCTTTTTTGATAGGTGAGTAGTAGTCCATTATGTATATATGCCACATCTTCTTGAGCCAGTCATCTGTTTGGGGGCATTTAGGTTGAATCCATTTTTAACTACCATAAATAGTGCTGCAATAAATATAGGGGTTCAGGTTTC